ACGCTGCCGGCAGAGTTCCAGCCCATAATTGGGCTTACACTCTTCAATGCGCTTCCGACGGTGAAGCACTATAGGGTTGGCCCTAGTGTGTACGTCACGTTGATCAAGGACATGATGAAGACACCCAGTGGCCAAGTGGTAACGCGGTTCCGCACTAACCTCCATTGGATCAAGACCCCTGCTGGCTGGCGCATCAAGGATAAGATCTATGCAACACTCCCATGAGCTCCAGATGTTCCCAATGAAACTCATGAAGACTCGCCATTTCGTGCGAAGGTCTTGGACAAAATGGGCCGAACCAGCGAGAATGCGCTGTTCTGCGTGCTGAAGGCCTCACCCACCAATGAGTCGCTCTTTTCCATCTCCTTGTGTTTAAGGTCCTGCAACCGATGGACGAACTGCCCCAAGCCTCAGATGAGTCGATTTGCACAGAGAAGACTCATTTCTTCTCGTTGCATGGAGAAAACTCGCACCCCTTTCAAAGCAAATTCGGAGAATTCGAACGAAGTGTTGGAGGTTGGAACCTCTAGGGTTAGTAGGAAGAGTTCAGGTTTAGTTATTACTGTAGGGAACCTTTCAGGCTTAGTTCAGGGTTCGGAAGAGTTCAGGGAACCTTTCTAGTAGGGTTATAGTTCCTACTGTAAGAAGACTTCAGCTTCACAGGCAGATTGGAGCTTTATTGTCAATCTCTCTTGGTGTTTGAAGGCTGACTTGATTGAGACTCCCGCTGAAACTGGACGAACATCGGACATCAGCCTGATTATCGTTCTTCCTGAACATGAGCCACATATTTGGCGGACCACATTGTCAAATTGGTTTGTTTTGTCATGCGTGTCATCATTTTTTCTGTTTGACAATGCTATTAGTTTCTGTAAGCGTATACTTAGGAAGAAACAACATCCTGTTCACCAATAACTTTCCCATACTTCCCCTATTGAAAGATAACAATTCAGGGGTATTGTTGCTAATAGCGCAAAAGGAAGCACATCGGGTTGTTTATCGTGATATTTTCTACAACAGGACGCAGACCAACATGCAAACATAATTTCTATTTTATAATGAACAAATACAACAATCATATCGTATAGTGTTTGATTCTAGCATGAAACAAATGATGGAGAGACCACACCATGTTTGAAAAAGCAATGATCAACAATTAGTTCAACATTTGTCATGTTTTGCACATCGTATCTCCTTCACAATACTTTATTCCCTATAGTGGAGCGCTCAGGCCTGCATGGATTTTAGTGCCACCAGGTCATCCGTTGTTTGTTCTACTGCCTGTCTTGTCTTGTATCAGCACTGGTAATCGATCCAAGCTTGCGGTCACAGACCGTCAAAGCATGAACGTCAACCGAAGTTGTATACGGTATTGAGATCTTTCAGAGATGCTCTTCCAGCACACAGAAGAACTTAGCAGAACAGCGCACGCTATTTCCGGCGCAGTCTGCCCAGGTCAAGGAGAGTGGACGAGTGGAGTTCCGCTCGCTCCTGAGACGTGAGCAGCGTCCCCCACTGCAACCAGGTTTTGGAAACAGCTCAAGTGCTTTTGCTTCTGAACTGCGGGAGTTCCGTCTTTGCCAGTCTTGCGGGTTCGCCAAATAGCAAGCCTATGGTTTGAAGTTCAACACTGCTAGTTATTTCAGTTCCAATGCCTAACCTGTTCCATCGCAAGAGATGGATGTCAGATGGAGAGATGACTGGCCAAGATTGTAACATGACTGGCCAAGATGCCGAATTCATGGGCTAAGTTGCGATTGGCCGGGCTGAGAAAAACGAAGCAGGTCGATATCACAGACTGAGCCGAGGCCATGAATCGGACAGTAGAAGACGCCGAGGCCGGCCATGAGCCATGAGCCTTGTGAGGTGCTGTTGTCGCCATCAGAATCGTCCAATCGACCAAGCTTACAAACCTCAGTGAGGTTTTTTCTTCTTGGGGAATATGTTTTGGCCTCCCAAGTCAGAATGTGTTTGCGATGAACAGAAAACCCAACAATAAGAGAAGGAAGCAACATACATGTCATGTATACATGAAGCGTAACATTAAAGTTCATCCATTATAAAGTCTTTGGTTTCTTTCCTCATGTTCTTCCGCAAAAGACCAAAGCCATGTTTTCCTCTCTGAAGAGCGAAGTCGGTGCCCAGGTCGGTCGTGACGGAAGAACCAGGATGCGAAGTCGGCAGGCTCGAAAACGCGATGAGAGAACCTCTCCGTTCGAAAACGTGGTGGAACTCGGAACTCTTTGTTGAAACGATTTGTGAAATTGGAAGGGAAGCTGCTGTTTTCTGAGGCAGAAATCCTCTTTGAAATAGATGTCGTCAGCATTTGACCAGGTCGACGGCGGCCGCTTTCGCGGTTCGGACGCTGAGCGCCTCTCGAGGCGCCGTGAACCGTCCGACTGGGACGGTTTGGGACGTGGACTCCGCGGAAGACGAAACGTGAGAATGAAGAAATGGACACGTGAAGGACAAAGAATCTGAACATGGTAGGTCAATTATGGTGTAGTTACTGGGTAAATTACCATGGACCAGTTTGCAATACATGGTAAGTATCGTTTTAGAAAAGGATAAAGAACAGCACGACACATCGCATCGACCGTGAACTGATCGCATCGCATCGACACTTCCGGGGTGCCGGGTCGTTTCAGAAACGTGGGCCTCGAGGGCCTCCGCCGGTGTTTCCGGAGGCGTCCCGTTGAACGTCCCGTGTTCCGGGTTTTTGTTGGATGTAAAGCTGCTTGGGTTCCAGTCTGATGTGTTGTTTTTTTAAACATATTTTGGAGGATCAGCTATCCAAAAGACGGCCAAACTTCCTCCTATCAAGACAGAGGTCACTTAGTAAGGCTATAAGGTCGACTTACCAGGATCGTCTGGGTGTCCTGGCTAGACTACCGTATACCCTACATCAACAGGTCTGACGGTTTAGTCACCCGTTGAGTACGGCTATAGTCTTGACGGTTTGGTTTGGCCTCAAGTGCTTCTGAATTGGCCGACTGCGGGCCGACAGGTCGACGTCGCGACTGTCGGACAGCGCGGACCGCGTCACGTCGTCTGAGCGTCGTGAAGGGAGACTTAGGAACTTCGTCGAGTGAAGTAGAAGTTGGATGAAGTTTTGGCAATCAGGCCCTATGTTTATTAGTACCGAACCTCAGAAGGTACGACTGGACCCTCCTGGCTGGCACCTAACAGTGCCTCCGTCCTCACCTTCTCACCGAGGATCGTCCAGTTTTCGAAGTGCTGTTCCCGGTCCACTGGACCGGGACCGGGTGTCCGCGCCGGTTCCGAACCCCAAGCACGACAACAGACCAGCGAAACGCTGTTTTGTGTTGCAGAAAGAGGATGGGAGAAGGTGTATCCATCCAGCGAACATGCAATTCGATGAACACCCGTGTTTTCATGCTGCAATTCTTTCACAGATCTCAACCTCCAGATCTTTCAGCACACGAACGTCGCCATTCTCAGTGCCATGGACATGGTGCTGTTGTGGCGGCTCTTTTTGACCTTCTTTGTTGGGCAAGCCCAGGAAGAACCTCCTTGTGTGGATCTACTTCAGCATCAGCTTCACTTGGAGAATGCTTCCATGATGGCCATCGACACCGGCCATGTGGCACAGCAGGCCCCGGCGGGGCCACTGGTGCCCGTGGCGCCGGCACCGCCACCGGTTCCAGCACTCACAAATCCGGGGTTGAAAGCCAATGTGGTCAGCTACCAGCTGTGGCAAGCAAAGACCCAGATCCCTGGCGAGATCAGTATGTGTTCAGGAGATTTTGTAGACAGGTGATGGTGTTTTGTCGGGATCTTTTCGGGTGATGGTGATAGATTTCTGGTTTGCAGGTTCCCATTTGGTTCAACACCCATCCAAGGATCAATCTGAATGTGCAGAACAACATCAATGAAGCGCCGCCAAAGGAGCCTTCTTGGGAAGATGGAGACAAGTGGGCCAACGCCATCGGCGCATCTCAAGGACTTGCTCAAAGCATTCAAAGCTGCGCGGCGACCTCCTCGACCGCAACGCCCGGCTGGACCGGCTCGTGTATTAACACTATCGGAAATAATGCTCTTCAGGTGACCAGCCAGGTGGGCGGAGCTGGAGGAATGCCACATGTGGCGGCGTTCGTGACAAAGCGTTGGGTGTTTTGATTTGCCACATGGTGTTGGTGGTCGGGGTGGCGGTGGTGGTGGTGATGTCAGGTGGTGTGGAACTGGGCACGGTGACGACCGGACCTTCTTTTACGGATCCAAACGCCTCGAATCGCCTCGGATCCAGGTGATGATGCTTGCAGACGTCTGTATACCGGAAGGTATCGTAGCCGCCGGGGTGGGCGAGATGGTGATCTCGCTTCTCTTCGGCGGCAGCAGCAGCAGCAGCAGTCCGAGTCCCCCCCCAATGAATGCTCAACAATTGGTGGACGCCGTTGAGCTTGGAACTTTGTCGACGACCTGTACGTTAATGTCGAATTCTGTGCAGGATGTGGGCAGCCCAGTTGTTGGAGCCCAAAACACAGAATTCGATCCACGAATTGTGCGAAGCATTTGGAAGAATCATATCTTCGTTTTGGGATATTCACGACTTGTTGGTGATTTGAAACACTGCCTATCAGGTCATTGCTAGCTTGCAGACAATCCTCTCTGCCACATCGCAAAACTATTGGTCGGTGTCAAATTGGGATACTTGGACTGGATCATCTCCTCAATCGATCCTCTATGCTCAACAGCAGTTGCTTACGTATCATGGCTTTGCTTTGCATGTTACTTTTTTCATTTTGCTCGTGATTTTTCCGGGATCTTGGGTGGCTCCGGGATCTTTTTGTCGTGAACATGTTGGTTCCTTTCAGCTGCCTGGAAGCAGAACCCAGGTTTGCACAAGATTGCATTCAGACCTATGCGCAAACCACCTTTTTGAAGAGTACGAGTGACTTCGTTGGATCCTTTAGCCCTCAGTGCAAGAGCACGTGCGGCACGGAGGATGCGTACAATCAACATTATACGGCTTGCAGCGGGGGTGCACAGCAACTTAACCAATGGCTAACGACTTGGGAATCCTGGGATTGTACTTGAGTAACGATTGTTGTGATGGGACATGCTCTTTATATCTCTTTATTAAAGTTTTTTGTTTTGGGGAAGATCTTCGTCCAGGTTCGAACACGTGGACCATCCAAGGACGCGAATGTGCAGTTGTTTCTGAATGCAACCTCACTTTTTGGCGCCGCGCGCTCCGCTGTCCAAGCTATAGCAAGAGCCAATGTCCTGGACTACACTCTGTCGGAAGTGAATACTTACAAAAACTTTATCGCAAGCACTCAGTCGCTCACACCATGGGTGCTTTTGCTTACGAAGCTTCAACATGACATGTGTGACCATTGCTATGGGAGCCAGCAGTGGCCAATCATCAAGTGCAGTGGGAGTGGCAGCCAAGAACAAAGAGAAAAGATGATCACCTTGATGGGGCAAATGGTCACAAACACGTTGAAGGGATTTGACGATATGGGTCTTACTACAAGCGTGGACACAAGTTGGGTTGACTTGCCGTGCAAATCTTGTCCTCCAGGCTGGATTCCTGTCGGAAAATGTGAACAAACAAATCCCGGTGCGGCTTGGTTCGATGGTGGAACCCAGAGCTGTGTGTCTAGCTGTGGATGCATGGAACACGTCAACAAAGGTTGCTACAAGGTTTTTGCAGATTTGGCAAACCAAAACCCCTGGCCCCTCCCCCCCACTGCCGTCACCTCCAGCCACCGGGCCGCCGATCAGAATCAATGTGACCATGATCCAACACAACGGCCTGTGTGTGCATCATACTTCGAAGGCCCTTCTTCACTCGTGCAGCTCCTCATCAGACAAGAAGCTCTTTGCGGTGATGTCCCAGAACTTCCTCTTCCCGGACCCCAGTTCCAGCACACCGATCTCTTCCACGTCAGAGCCTTATTGCTTCTTTGCAAAGGAGGGGGCCCTCGACATTGGCACAGGCAGCGACTGCCAAAGCGGTTGGCAGTTCCAACATGTGGCAGCGAATGGCGCAGGATCTCCACCCGGCACTTGGCCTGTGCAGATTGTCGCCAATGGTTTGTGTTGGACGGTGTCCGGCTCATCACTTGTACTATCCAAGTGTGCACAGGCCAGCGCTCAGCAGACTTTTGTACTCGTTCAGCCTTAGATGGCCGATCTTTTCACATCTTTTCACATCTGTTCGAAAAGGACAGAGTTATCAGAGTTCTACCCACAGTTTGCTCGGTAATAAAAGACACCGATGTTGGAGCGAGTTGGTGGGTATGGCGTGGTCGGGAGCTGCCACGACGGTGGAACTCTGGCTTCCACACCAGCAGTCACCATTCTCGGGGAATTGGATGTGGATATTATATATATATAATATATAATACGATAAATATCCTCAGTTGGTCGCGTGAACGCAGAAAACACATGTGAAGATGGTGCCATGTGTTTGTTCGAAATTCACGCTTTTCGGACAGACAGCGCCCAGGTCGTCTTCCCTCGTCCGCTCTCCAGCGACACGGTGCCGGGATGATCCTCTCGACTTCGGCATCCGAGCGGGCAGACTTGGTCGGGGGCGTGCGGCAGTTGGATCCGTCCGATGTGGATCGAAATCAGTCCTCGACTTCTGGATCACACGGATGTACCGTGGTATACTTTGAAAGATGGGAGTACCCAGACACGAGTCTGCGACTGCCGGACTGCCCCAGAAAGACCACCCCGGTCGGCCGTTTCTCGGCAGTCCTATGGCAGTCCCATGGAGTGTTTGGGATAGATCGATGGTTATAGATGGTACAGTATGGCAAATTTAGGATTTGTCCAGAGAGATCAGTGCTGTCAACCGTGCTCCAACGTACTGGTCGACACTTCGTCGTTTCTTTTTGTCGAAGAGGGCTGCGTCGAAGAACTGGGCCATACGGGTTGTTGATGCATACGGGGGACCTCCAAGTCGGCAGCGAATTTGGGATGTGTCTTTGGAAGCTTGGATTTTCCATCTGACATGTAGTGCCTTTTCATCCATACATACCAGCCATGTTAGGCTGAAATTTGGAAGATGCTTGTTTGTTCTATAATTATATATTCTATATGGTTTCAGACACGCACTCCTTCAATGGTTGGATTCTCTTGTTGTGTGCAACACCTCCCACGCTGTCCCACGCTCGTTTGACCTGCAACTGCTTCGCAATATCACTGTTGGCTGAGACTTCCCTTTGACGCGTTGTTCGTGCATAGCAAGATCGGACCTCATCGCGCAGCATGGTGCAAACGCGGCAGGAAATGATCGAGGCTGGTCCTGTTGGTGAGCATTTGTTGTTATTTTGCTTTTT